GTAATTGGAAAAACAGCAGAAGACAAAGAAACCAAAGAGCTATCAGAGGGAAAGCTAAACCAGGTAAAAACAAATCTAATAAGAGATTATGGAACAGGCTTTACTGAAAAGCCAGATCTAAACTCCACAGATCTCACTGATGGAACAACAAATGAAAGACATGAAAAAAATAGTATGGGCAATATGTAAGTTAAGGCTGTTTGAATACAAAGTGTAACCAGCTATCCAAAGGTAGTAGTGTCATTGAAAACAACATACTTGTCCCCTCAGATGAAATCCTATTATTATTTCTGGATGAGTCACCCAAGACTTATTCCACAGAATGAGCACATACCTTACAGAAACTCTTTCCAGCAGAATGCAATGAAAATAGAGCAAGTGGAGTGATGGACAGCAGCTGGGGCCCGGGCAGCACCTTGGTTCACCACCACGCAAGGCAGCTTCAGCACTGGGCTGCTGCCACCCAGCCCCAGCTGCACCCTGAAGCCACATGCACAGGTTGTCTTTGTCTGGAATTTAGACTTTGACTGATGTGTGCTAGGAACAGAAGGTTTATATTAAGGGAAGTGGGAGAAAGAAAAAGAATTGAGAAAAAAAATAAGAATATTAGGAGTTTGTAGTACAGATTTGGAGGTAAAAGAACACAGAAAGACAAGAAACCTCCTCAACATGTTAAAACATATCAGATTATATATATACATATATATATATAGATACAAAGATATTGGATGGTTCAAGTCAGCACATTTGTTCAGACTTTGATAAGAACTATACCACTTAAGTAATTAGAAAGCATACTACCTAGTGCCATTGAAATTGGTCCACCTGAAAATTCATGCTGCTTTGAGAAACTGACAGCAATTTTTGACAAATACTGGCAGAAAGAAAAAAAAAATAAATCTGGGCTGATGTCTATAAATACTAGAGAGTAACATCACGGGGAGATCATCATCATGAAAAAAGATGCTGTGCAACCTCACCTGAGCCACTGCATAACTGCTGGGTGGGGCAACTCCTAATGCAAGGGGTAATAACCTTAGTGATGGAGAGTGCCTCACAAAGCTCACAGGTTATTTTGTGTTCCAGGAAGGAGGAGAAGGAATGTGCCTGTTGTTTTCTGGATGGGATGTGTAATCTGACCACTTGGCAGTCTCCCATACAAGCAAGCAAGTGGCAAGGGGCAGGTGTTCTGGGACTGAGGAACCACGCAGAGTGCACAGAGTACAGGGAGCAGCAAGATAGAAGTGTGTTTCCTTTCGTTCTCTACAGAGGGATGCTACAGCTAACCAAAAAAATAAACCCTTGAAAGTCCCCCAATGACAAAAGTAAGTGAAATATTGTCATAATTTTTTTTTTATTTTTATTTATTTATTTATTTTTACTAGCTGGGACAGAAAAAAGCTGGTTTGTTAAGAGGCAGTATAAAAACAAATAGAATTGTTTTCACAGATAACATCACCCCCCCTTTTCTTAGTTGTTTTAATTTGTTCTCACTGTAGCTCACTGGCAGTTCTCACTGTAGTTCTCACTGGGAGACTACTGTGTAGTCTCCCAACTATCAGCCTTGAAAATCAAATAAGAACTTACTCCAGTGGTCTTTGAAAGCCCTTTAAAAAGAAATGCATTCTAAACAAAATTAAGTCCTCTCCAGAACAATATTACATTTATATTTTGTGGCACCTAGAGCAACACTTTGTTTTTTTCCCCCCGTTTCTGAGCTTTATGAACCTAATGGCTGGATCTGCAGATGCTCACCCTCCCACGAGCGCTGGCCTCTTCAGCAAATTCTTGTTGCTGTCTTGTCTTCAGAAAAAGCCTTAGATATACAGGCTTATCTAAGTGATTTAAACACAGCTACCTAAGGATGTGATGGATTTCCTTTATATTCAGTCTCCAGTCAAGACTAGATGGATATCTAAGAGACATGTTATAGCTCAGAGAGTGAGGTGCTTGATGCAGAAATTACAGGGTCAGATTCAAAGCCTGGTGTTATGTGGGAGGTCAGGCAAGGTGAGCTTGTACTTCAAACCAGTGCATCTACACTATAAATTTCAAAGCTGTCTGTAAAACTATGAAATGCACAAGGAATTTAATGCAAAGCATTTACCTTTTCCTTTTGTTTGAGCTGTAACCCAAGGCTTTGCCTTTCTGCCACATCATTTTGAAAGGAAATTAATTTCCCTGCTCACTAGTTTTGGTGAAATTATTTAATGTAAATTTTCAGCTACCACTTACTTGATCATAGAAACTTTCTTAACCCCAAACCTCTCTCATTTCAACACTTTCCTCCAACAAGAACTCCACCTGAAACAAAAATAATTCTCTCTATAACCTTTCAACCCAGAACTCCCTATTCAGCTTTAAATTCAACCACAGGGAAGAGGATTTCCCTCTCCTTTTTCTTCATATTAGACAGTTACTCACTTACCTGTTTTCATCTAGTCTTTCCTCAGCCCCTGATCCTGAAAGAAGCTGGTTCACAGAGCACTCACAGAGCATCACTGAACATGAGGAGAGTATACCTGCAGGGAAGCTCTTTGAAGGGTAGGCCTAAATTTGTGAAATCTTCAAAGAAAAGATGGAATGGATGCACACTGCATTAACATTACGGAGCTTCTGCCTGTCTAGGATCTCTTGATGCTATAGTAATATGAAATTTATAACTTCCTATGTAGTTTTTACTAAATGGTGATGAGGGAGATGTTCTCTTTGTCCAGGCTCACCTGGCCATCTCAATTCTCTATAACATTGTGTTTTTTCTATCTCTCTTTCTGGAAAGAAGAGCAATATAAAAGAAAATAGAGAAGGGCAACAGAAAATGGGTCCAATTAATCAGAATAGACATATTCAAAGGTGATAACCAAAGGCTGAATGGACTTGGTTGTTACTGTCCCCACATAGAGCCAAAGGCTGAATTTGGCTGTTATTTTCCTCATGTAGAACCAGTCTTTGCTCCATGGACAAGAGAGTCAGCTCAGGGGAAACACTGAGAGTTTCTTATTAGTATGTTAGCTGCATATGTCCTAAAGACTGATCTTCCAAAGATCAGGCAAGATCATGTGCCACATTCAACTTCTGTACACCTCTGAAGAAAGAGTAGACTTACACATCTGATTATAAGGTTATTTATGGAACTTATGAAGCTTGAAAATAGAAGGAAAAACAAACAAACAAACAAATAAAAACACTAAAAACCAACCAACCACCACTACCAACCTCACAAGTCTCCACCTTTTAACGAAGCAAGCTGAGGAAGTGCCAGGTTATCATGAAATGGAAGCAGCTGAAAAATAGTGAAAGAACTGATACCTGAGGTGTCTCGAAAAGAGCTCATTCCAAAAACAGTGCTTGGTGCATGGGGGAACTGGAAATTGGAGTTGTATAACTCTAAACAGAAATATTGGCTACCTGCAAAATATACAACAGTAACACAAATCTTGGGAAGTAAGAGCTGCAAGCTAGCAAGCCTCAGAGGAGGTAGAGGCAGCTGCCCAGATTTCTTAGCACTGGGCCTTTATGAGCTGAGCACTTTACTGAGCATGTTTTCTTTAATATTTATTTTCACAGAATCAGCCTGATCTCATGTTCCAGGAATGAAACCCTGGCATGGAAGTGGCATATCTGCTAGTTAATGTCAACATTTGATGTGCAGTGAGAGAGCAAACAGGATTTCATATTGTGGTAAAAACTGAATTACTATTTGCTTTAATTCTATTTTCTTTGTGTCAGATACATTAAGAGTCTCATAAAAGAGCAAAAGAATTTCATTCTTACTTGAAAAAAAAAAGAAAAAAAAAAAACAAACAAGGAAAAAAAATACCTACTTCTACAAGTTCAAGCAAAATGTAATATCTAGGTAGTAATGAATAGGTTGAAACATCCTTCGCAGAAAATATCACAATAAAAGACCCCAGTGATTTGTATAGCACTTACATATTAAGGAGGGAAAGACCACACTTAACTGTGAATGGACTATGCTATAGCAGAAGAAAATTCCTCCCTGACTTAAAAATAGTCAAAGACAGTCCAAGCTATCATATAGAGCAGGTACAGCTCACTGTCTAACTCTCACCAGTCACAGAAACTATGCCCAATTCATTCATGCACTTTATTGTCTTCCAGTCTTCTGGACAAAAGATCACAGGAGATTGTGTTTCAAATGGTGATGTCCCAGGTCTGGGAAGAAATCAGCTATGGGACTCCCACTGCTGTAGGAAGCTGGTGCTCAGAACCCCAAGGACTTGGTCTTTGGTTCAAAAATACAATAATTAATGACAACCAGCACTGGCACAGCACTTCTGCAAGTCTTAGAGCAGAAACACCTGCAGTATATCCCACCCTGGCAGGGAAACTGAGCTGGTGACCTAACAGTCTTTTCCACCTCTAACTTCTGTTTTTTTTTTATGAATCGTCAGTCACACCTAAGTGTGATATCGCTATAAAATCCCAGTCATGTAAAAAAGCTGGCAGAAAGCTTTGGCCATGCAACTCTGTGATTTTATGCTTAGCTATGTCCTAAAACTGAAAGGAGGAAGTAGACTTTTAAATATCAGTGTTGATAGTTGCTTTCAGATATTTTGAGACACAAAATCCAATTACACAGAGAGCAAAGTCAGCTGCAGTTTGGGCTACATCACAGACTCAACTCCTCCCCCCTCCCTACCTCCCAAAAAGAGAAAAAAGAAAGAAAACACCATCTAACCATCTAAACATCACCTGTGGTTTGGAGAGACAAATACAGTTTTGATTTTCAAGAAGTTGGCAAGGACTTCTTTATAGAATCATAAAATCATAGCACCATTTAGGTTGAAAAAGACCTTCCAGATCATCAAATCCAATCAACCTAACCTACTGAGTCCCATCACCAAACCATGTCCCTTAGTGCCACTTATGCTGCAGAAAGTCCCTGGAGCAAGGCATGGTAGCTAGCACAAACACAGTGCTAGCTCTCTACTTGGGTGAATTGAAGTGATTCAAAAAGGAATATTGGTGACACCTACCTGACAACCATTACCCTGAAACTGCAGCAGAGCTTACTCTTCAGTGTATTTTTCTGCATCATATGCTGCAGTAGGAAAGTTTCTTTGTTTTCTTCTCCTTTAAAATCCTGTAATGTTAAAAGAAAATGCTGGAAGCAAGATCTTCAAATCATACACCAATATTTCATCTTGCTATATAATCATCAAACAGATTTGGTTGTATATTGCACTATATCTCTGTTTTATCTGGAATTTGGAAGTGGTTATTATGATTTAAAAGACGAGAAAGAAAAGGGTCACTCAAAATGTAGAGCTGGAAATCTGAACTGTTGAAGCATCTGAAGTATTTTAAACTAGATTTCAGTCCAGGTCCTGCTCTACTGTGTCCTCATGTTGGGAAAGTATATTCAGAGCTGACACGGCTTTCCCAGGTGTTTTCTACTGGGACAGAGTGCAGAGTGTGCAGTTAATCATGAGTGCATTCAAGTGTCCTAAGGTCTTTGGGTGAAAGCTGTTAGAGACATTGAAAAAGTGTTTAATGATCACAGTCCCATGTCCTGAACACAGGCTGGGTTCATGAAAGTTCAAACACCTTTGAAGAAGCTTAGGCCAAAATGTAAACGGGCCAGAGCCAAGCTGCCATTTCAAATAGCAAGAGGGACAGCTCATTATCAACCCCCCTCCCAAGCACATCATGGTGAGAGTGTCCAAAATGCCATGTCTAGATGGTGTCCAGAAAATGACTCCTTCTACCCAGAGCAAGACCCAATCAAACTGCCTCTAGGTGATCTCCATCCGGGGGCACTCAGCTCTCAGTTTTTGTTTTGATTTCAATGGATGGTGCATACTGCACTTTCTGGGCACAGCTAAGGTGTATGCTGAGTGCTGCTGCTATGATAAACCACAGCAGGCACAAAGTTACTACGTGCAGTTTCTTAAACACAACATAAAAATATATACATGTATATATTTTACAACTACCTCACTTTTACACAATTTCAGTTGAAAATACATATTATGATGGTTACCATAAGAAATCCATCTTGGGTGTTTCAACTTACTGGCCATACATTAGCAAGTCCTGTTCTTCATCATTTTCAAATGCTTCCATTAAAACAAACTAGACATATGAAGGAACATAGATTTTTCAGTATAAGTATGAGTCAAGGGTGAGAACAATGAAAGTTAGACATCCTTAGGTGTCTGAAGACAGGTTTATCTGCAACTTCTGTAGCAGCTAAGAGGAATATACATAAATTTCCCAGTTCTCTGGGAAGTAGAAATGGAGAGAAAATAACTATTATCCTATGCAAATCAACACATATTCAAGGAAGTATCTGCCCATAAGGCTGGCTTAGAGACGTGTGAAAAAAGTATGACATTCCCATCATACCCTCATCTTCAGGGTTTCCCCCACTGGACCTGGAGACCAGGGGAAGGTGACAGCCTTCCACTTGGAAGTCATGGTCTGCACCCAGTGCTCTCTCCTCCTTTTAAATACTTAAATGCTTGCAAGTATCACTTGTGCATGTTTTTTTGTTTTGTTTTGTTTCTGAGCCAAATCACATACTATTGTAGGCCACCTGCACATATTTTTTGCATCACCTTAGCACAACATACTCCTTAATACCAAGCTTAACAATGGCATGGTACTGTTATTTCTTTCTACCACAAGCCGATTAAGTATTAAGAGAAGTTAATCATTAGATGGCTAGTTGTACATTAAAACAGACTCCCTTCTTTGTCTTACAACATTATTAAATGACTTCTTCTTTGAAATGCCACATAAAAGTGATAGATGCCCTTTCTTTAAAAGTCAGCCATCTAGTTGAGCTATGTTTTATATTAGTTCAGCCACAAAGAGCCCTCCTTGTTTCAACATGGAAGTGTAAAGCAGATCAGGTTGAGCAAGCTGGCTGCTGCGAGCACCGGGCTGCTCATGGCTCAGATAAGGGGCCTGAGGCTGAGGAGCATCCCCTGCAAATCTGTGCCCAAAAATGATGGGGTGGAGACAGGGACACAACACAGAAATAAATTAGGTGTAGGCCAAAGATGCAAATGGTCAAATATATTTGTGATAGCGTGATGGAAAGCTGTTGGCATTTCCTAAGCATGTTTAATGGATTTGAAGAGTAGTTTGGCATGGAAACTGCTTCTGAAAACTGCTTCAGAAACAGCAAGCTCTGAGCACTGAAAACGGTGCGTGCCTGTATGTACATGTGCTTGCTTGCACGTTTGTCCTCCTTGTTATAGTTTGTGCGCAGAAAGTTTCAGTGCTTTCAGAAATAAAAGCATTTCCTTCAAAATGCACATACACACAGAGTCCTACACAGCAGATGAATGAACAGGCAGGCAAAAAACTGAGGACTGAGCAACACATTTCCCTTCCTGAACCACTAAAAATGTTTCTCCCAAGAGCAATGCTACATTATATTTTTGCTTACCAGCTTTTATAAAGTAAAACTGGTGCTCAGGAGACTAATACTTACTTTGTGTGCCCCTGTGGAACCACAAGGCATCAAGGCAGGGCTCACCTAATGTATAATCTATATTTACATGTCAAAAAAAAAAAGAAAAAAAAAGAAAAAAAAAAGAGCACCGCCTTATTTAGTTTCTTGATTTATAATCCCTAGTTTTCATAAAAGTCAGTCATTCCCAGTGAAAGAATGCAGCTTAGATTTATAGGATCTACATTATGCCTTAAATCTTAATAGCATTTTTAAAGCACTTTTATGAGTCATCCTAAGTAATGCTTTCCCTCTATTTTCAAGACATCACTTGTAAAAAACAGATCCAAATTTTTACCTTAAAAAACAAGATTATTTTAGCCAACCATGCTGGCATCCACTCTGTTGCAATACTAAACATTCTGTCAGCAATGTCCTTATAAGCCTTTATTTCCAGGGGTTTATAGGTTGAATTTTAACTGCACTTTGTACTAAAGTTTGTCTGATAAGATCTCAACCTGCATAAGCAGTGAATTTGTTTTCACCATCATAGTCAGAATAAAATGAATCTCTGGAGGCATCTGTAAGAAAGATGAAGGTAAAGGGCTTTGTTCTGTGCCCTCTCCCTATTCCTCATGCCAGACTCCTCTTTTCTTTGAGAATTTTGCTTAAAATAAATTAAAGTTAGGTTCAGTCCAGTTAAGAGCAGCACTATCTGATCCCAAGTACATTAATCACATGCATGCATACAGAAATGCTGGGCATCTGTTTTTGCATTTATGCATGGACACAACAATGCCATACCAGTTGTTAAGCAACTCTCTGAAAAAACAATGTGCTTTAGATGGAAATTCAAATATTTTTGAAGATATGAATTGCCCTAACATGGCTTTATAGAGAAGCAATTTCTTAAACATTTTTTAGGAAACCAAGCACCAACTAGTCCATGCTCATACGTTATTAGAAAGTACAAATATATATTGTAGACTCATTTTTCAATAGGACTACTACTGATACCAAGTATACTGTGTAGGAGATATGCTTGCAGAAATTAGGTCCTTAGTTAATGGTGAATTACATAACATGAAAATCTGTAAAATATCTAAACCCCTGTTACCATAGTTGCCTAACTGGTCAAGGCACAGTGGTTACATCTTTTGGAAGAGTTCTAAGAGAGTTGACTCCATTTGACAGAAACAACAGCAATGGAGACCAAACAAGTATTGCCAAAGTCTTGTGATCAAAAGTCGGTCTCCTCCTTTCCCTTTAGCTCTTTAAGGTTTGTGCAACCATGCAGCTTCAACAACTGAAGTGGATGATATCTCGGCACAGAACAGGCAAGAACCTGGAGTGAACAACACAATCTTGGGAGAACTGGGAGCCATGGAGGCAAGAAAGACCAGTTCACCTACCTCTTGGCTGATGCAGTAGTCATGAGTCCATCACGGAAAAGGCAAGCATAAATTCTGAATGGCATTGTCCAAGCTATAGCAGATGTGTTGATAGAGAAGAAGGAGACAAGGTGCTGGGCATTTACAATTGCATTTTCTCTGAAAAAAAAATAAATCATTTTTTTTCTTTTCTTTCTCTGTTTTTAAAACATTAATTTCCTATCTGGTCAAGTTTTACAGATAAAAGTCAGTCATAAACACATCCATTACCATGGCATATCTTAAGATCTTTCAACAGTTTTCTTTGTGTCAGAGAACAAGGCAATTATTTTAGTTTTAACATGTAAAAAATAATACAAATATTTATCTACTATGCATGGAAAAGAGCACCAAAATATATGATTAGATTGTGATTCTTTATGTTAAAAATACACCCTCCTCAAATAATTTATTAATCAATAGCCATAGCCTAATGACTGGTAGGTACTAAGAAGTCTGTCATGTTTTGGATACATACATGTCATTGCTAAGGCCACTTCTTGGTCAGCATCAAAAAGCAAATAAGCTCAAAATGTCTACCTCCTATATTCCCACCAACAAATAGATACTGATATTTATAGATGATCTATTAAGCTAAATTCTAAAAGAAGAAAGTGAGAGAGAGGAGAGAAAACAAACCTCAGGGACTTATCAACAGAGCTCAAATTACTTCCAGACATCCAGCATCAATAATATATACATACTTGTACAGGTACCAACATGAGATGTGATTATACAACATTCAGAGTTCTTGGCTTTGGTCAGCCAAGCAGTTAAACAGATGCTTAAATTGGAGTGTGTGAGGAGTCCTATTGAAACGTCAAATAACTGCATGCCAAACACTTAAGGCTCTATGGACTGCTACTCCAGAACATGCTTTTGCTGCTTTTCAGCTATTTTCTGTGTTTGAAGTTAAAACCTAGTTTGAGCAACTTTTCTGTCTTTTGCCATACTATTGCAGCATGGGAAATTAAACAAATGGCAAAACTCTCCTCTGCTGCCCCCAGTACAGATCAGACAGTGAGGTCCATAACCTAGCCAAAAGTCACAGCTGGTAGCTCATGGCAAGCACAGGCTTAAAGCCTCTGAAACCCTGATCAGTTGTTCTGCAATGGTGAAGGCAACCAAAGTCCTTAGGAAAGCTCCCTGAGTCTAGACAGGGACTAGACTGCAAAAGCTCCATCTGGTACTACAAATCAGCTACTCTTTCTTCCTACCCTGCTTGATGGACTCCATTTAACAGGCAGCAGCGGAGCACACCTGCTTTTATGCCCCACATGAAATACTGCAAGGCAAAACACCAGCAACAGTTCCTGTCTGCTTTCTTCAACAAGGGGCCAACCAACAGACAACCCTACTCACTTCACAGAAAGATATGTTCTTAATTGCATTAGCTCCATCAAAATTGGTTGGGTAAATCCTCTCCCAAAATAGCATGGTCTAGTGACAAAGCACTGCCTCCAGAGATAAATGGAGAGTCATGTCTCCTCACAGAAACGGAAGAGTATCAAAGTACCAGTCAATATTGGGGATTACATCTGTTTCATGATTTCAAATATCCAAAGTCAAGTGGCTTAACATGCCAATAGAAAAGATGTTCTTCATAAGGTCAGTGCAGCAGGTTTCCCCAAGAGGCTGTGTGGTCTCCATCCTAAGAGGTTTCCAGGACCTCATGAATCCTCGTCACAGCTTCCAAATAACCGTTGCAATGGGATGCTTTAATTCCAAATACATCTTTTATAAAAGCCAAAAAATGTTTTTCATCATTCCTTCCTCTAGCTCAGGAACATGCCTTTTTTTTTTTTTTTTTTTTAAACAAAAGCTTTTAGTAGTTGAGATGTATAATCTGTGCGGAGGAGTTTATGGCTGGACACAATATAATGTCTTGATGTCAGCTGAGACTCAGAAGGCAATGCCTTTTAAGCTGCACTAGAGAACATATTTTATAGAGAGAGTGAAAATATTTAAAGCAGACAGAAAATGGTAGTCCATGAGAAGCCAGCCACTTAATCTTGTGGACTTGGACAATCCAGCTGTGCTGTTCCTAGCATATGTGTGTCTTTGCTTCTTTAAAAAAGCCACCTCTGGCATAGATTACAAAATCTGCCTTGGCAATTTTTACTTCAGAATGCCCAATGACAAAGATATTATCACATGCCATGTTGTATTGGCTCTGTTATTTGAAATGTGTCTTGTTTTCTGATTTTTTCTTCTTTGCCACACATATACTATCCAGCTGGAGCTTGCGCACCAACTGACCTTGTACTAAATAAGTATGTTTACATATCCCTCACATGTAGAAACTTATTAGCTGGCAACTAAGAAGTTTTTCATTTAAGCATTGAATCTCTTGACCGCTAAGAGCCTAACTTTCATTTAGCAGGAGATAATTAGCATTGACAAGTAGGGGCAAGTTATCAGCTACAGACACTAAAATGCATATTACTTGTTGAAGCATGAGTTACTCTTGCTCTTGGATTGCATTAGCTCATACATTCCTCTCTTGAAAGCTTCCTTTTATTAAATATACACTGTGTATGCCTTAAAGCTATCACTCCCTTTTTGGCTTGATCCAATTTGGAGTGTGGATAAACCACTTCAGAGGAAACTTCTGGAGATGATGAGAATAGTATTGGCTAATGCCTTGTACTCCCTACCTTAATTTCATGTCCCAGTGCTGGCTCAAAGTCTGTTGATCTGGTTACAGGATCACAAGCAGATGTTGCCTAGGTCTTTTCTGATATACTGAGTCAGCAAAGGTATAATAGTTTTTAAGCCCAAGTCTCCATCCTGGCTGCAGAGAGGCTGTTGGAGAAAATGTAGGAAGAGAGACAGGTCAATGAGGGGATTTTAAATTACGAATGTCAAGAAAAGAGGAACTTATTCTCAACAATCATTAAGTTTGGAAAACCGAAAGGTTATCTTTGAATTTTTGCTCCAAAAAAATGCAATGTGAAAACAAAAACTTTAGGAGATTTAGGTGTTTGGTGGCCAGATACTCAGTCATCAGGTGTTCATAGGTACATGTCACCACTGGGCTGCTGACTTGCCTTTGGTGTCCTCGTTTGACTGAGTCCCATCCTAAACATGACAATCTCAGTTGTAAGGTCTGCTTTTGGAATCAGATGCAGTTATAAAAATTTCAGTCCAAACAATTTGCCTGTCCAAGTGAAAATGAAATATTTTATTCAGCTTTCAACTCCTGACCCACTTGCTCCAGATGAAGTCTGATTACAGGAGAGATGACTTCTTTATCTGGACCACAGGGTCAAACAAGCATCTGTCAACAGAAATGCAGGCTAGTGAACTGATCAGAAGTTACGAATACTTTACAGCACACAATGTAAAAGGAAATACCTTGTATTCAGAAGATGGTAAAGAAACACGTGAGGCTTTAGCAAATTGAGATGGAAGAATCGCTTTCTGGTCAAAGAGACCAGAAAGCTCTCTACAAAGCTCTTAGTCTGCTTAGACCAAAAGAAGTCTGAAGATATAGAAAATTAGTAGATGAAATATAAAACATAATGCTGTACATCAAACAGCTATGGACAGCAAACATTGCTGCTCAGTACAGCAGCTGCTACAATGAATGGGAAACCCACATTGTGTTATGAACATCCCTGACAGAAAAGACTACTTCTGTTTCCTCATGTAACAAGGTAAAATTCTGGAGTGAAGGCTTTGTAAGCAGCAGTTCGTATAATTTCTTTCCTGCTGTCATGCAATAAAGTTTAATAAACTTTAGACATCCAGAAATGAAATTACCAAATACCTCATTAAGGTTAATTCATCTGTTTATGCCTCTTGATTGTATGATACTGCTCCTGTACATATGAATGGATTTATAAGGTAAAACATAGCAGAAAGGATCTCCCCACTGCCTTTTTTTTTTTTTTTTTTTTTTTTTTTTTTAATCGAGATTCCTATTTATTACCTTTTCAGAAAAATAAAAATTAAAATGTAGGCAGGCAGCACTGGAAGAGTCAGGCCTTTCTGTACACAAGAAAAGCTTTCTGTGCTCTTTCTGTTCATCCAGCTACTTAATTTACCTTGCACTAAAATGATCTCTATTGTTTATTTTTAGTGAAATTGTCCTGTTTTTCAGGAAGTCAACCTTCTTTATGTCTGTTTGAAAGTCTTACCAGCCTTCTCAGATCTGGCCAGCTCTGGAAAACTTGTCTCAGCAGCTCTGGGTATTTTGGTAGCAAGAACACCACTCTCCCACCAGCATATCAGGAGGTATATATGGAGGTATATATGCTTTCTTACCTTACTAGTTTGTTACAGAATTTAAACTTCTTCACACTGGGACGCTTTAAATAGCATTAGGTTTTAGGATTTACCAGTAAGGAGAGGTGACAGCTTCTGCATTCAAATAAAGAAACTAAAGTAAAGACCAAACAAAACAAAACAAAAGAATAAACAAGCAAGAAAGCAAACAAAAACAGATCCTTCAACAATAACTAATGATTCCATAATGTTTCCACTTCAGTTTGAATTCATGTTCTGGATTTCACTTGATAGCATAGGACAAAGCAAGTCCTTGATGCACCATGCCAAAAACTTCATGTTTTCTATTAAGCAGTCTGTAAACAATATCTACAGGGAAACACATTCCTTATAGCTATCAGTCACAACTATCGCTGGAAAGTTTGTTTTATTCTGTACTGAACATAAGGGGAGGAGTGACGGCTTCTTGCTTTTGAGCAAGCTTCTTGTGCTAGGACAGCATGCAGAAATGGAGAGCAACATAGCACATGTGAATTTAGCTTCCATTCTAACCACTGATACCTATTAGAAAAATAACAAACCAAACTATTATTCATGTCTAGAAATGCCACCAGAATGTGTGACTAAGGACACGTGAGAGTGATCAACTCCTATCAACTACCAGCATGGGAAACGTTTTGAATTTATTTCTGCTTTGGGTAGATAACATGCCTGATATTACAAAAGGCTGCTTGATGAAATTCTTTACTGAAAGAATCACTGCTGCTGGGAAGCTCAGAAATGATTTTCAGAAACTGAAATACGATCACAATGAAAATCTCAGTTCAGCTTTCAGACAGACATCGGTAAAATGATGCTTTCCTGAAAGCACGCCTAAGTGGGAAGCAGATTGGCAACCCTTTTGGCAAAACTCTAATGCAGCACTTCAGCAGGGGTCTTCAAAAGAAACAGAATAACTCAGCAACACAAAGGCAGCAGAAACGCTGCATTTCACTCCACGCGTTGTCTTCAAAAAGAGCCCGCGTACTTTGAAGAGAATTGTAGTGGACAACGATTAAACTGTGCAGTCAGGGGAAGAGAGCAGTGAAACCCTGGGACATGTCTGCACCCCACCGTGCCCACACGACCCATGGGCAGGAAGCAAGTCGGCCCAGCCTCATGAGTGGGGTGACCCCCACAGCGCACCTCCAGCTCCGAGCTGCTCAGCCCTGCGTGGGGGCCGGGGCCTGACCAGCCTCCAGCAGCTCTCCTCCGTCTCTGACACACAGAAATGCCCTCAGATCGGCGTCGCGGTGAATGGCGAAGAGCTGAGGCTTGGCTGATTCACTCTGGAAATACAGCACATGTATTTTTTTTAGCAGAAGCTGTAATTTTACTTAAGGCTCCAAATTTGGATTGGGCATCTTTCTAAAAGTTGACCTCCTGCCTAACCAGCAACTGTGGGGCAGATGCAGAATCACATCCCACCTTGGAAGACCACGACCTTAAGAATTTATATATATCAAACATGAACTTCATTTTGATCCTTTCCCACTGTCCAGAGATGTCAGAGATCAGTTTAATTGCATAGCCTGTCAAGACTCCCTGGGAATTATGTGTATTTTCTCTCTCTCTCTCATACAAAATCCATCTCCGCTCTGAATAATTACTGCCAGAGCTGAATCAGAACCTGCCAAAGTTTCAGGAAAGAATCCAACCCTTTTCTACAAACATTCAAAGCAAATATGAATTTGCGTTGCTGTTTGTTTTCTCCCTTCTTTTTTTTTTTTCCATTTTTTTTTTTTCTTTTCCACAATCCCCCTTCACGTCATTCTCTTTGAATATCTTAGCATGAATGAATTTAGTGAGGGAGTGGTGCATAAGAAATCTTTGGGCAGATCCTCAGCTGGTGTACAATTGGCTGCAGTAAGGCTACACTCAGTTACATCCTGGAAATGCATCACAGTGAATGTGAAAAGCTCTCTTGTAGGTTATTCACCTCAATGTTCCCATCAGCTATCTCAGCTTAAAGATTTTCGTTATTGAGTCAGAGGACCAAACAATAGTATGGGATTGAGCCCAAGCAATTAACTCTTCACTCAGTTTTATAACTGAACCCTGAACTGGAATCCCACAGAGGACCTGTAACAATCTTATTCAGAGAAAACAACATTTTTTTTTCATAATGAAAATTTGGAATACAAAGTTAAAGAACAGCCCATGATTCGCACACAGAAAATTAAAAAAATAAATAAAAAATCACAAAACCAAAAGGCTGTTAATTGAGGCGTTTAATCCCAACAAGGTATTCATTCTGAGATAATTAGTTCCATGAAACCCTCTGCCACTGAGACACGGCGAAGAAAACCATCTTCAAAAGTTAGGTATGTAAGAAGCACAGAACTTAAGGACAGAGCAGTCTGTGATGAAACCCTACAGAGCCCTGACGAGAAGAAAAAGTTCTGGAGGGAACTGAGCCTCTCAGTGTGAGTCATTCCTGTGTGAAAACATGTTATGATTTAGAAGACTCTACAACAGGAAAAGAATGGGGAAGATATGCCAGCAGAAAGCCTTACAAGTTTCTTATAAATAAGAAACCAACACCACTGTATGTCAGGCGAGAAAAAAAAAGAAAAAACAAAACACAAACATGAGTAGCAACAAATGGGATCCTGAAAAACAGATGAGTCAACAGTCAGCAATACAAGTGATTAAAACTGAAATTATATCATTTCTAACTCATGGTGCATAAAGTACTATACTTAAAAAAAATAAAAATAAAAGGAAGAATAAAAGGAAGGTCTTCTGCTACTGGAATTCCTCTGTTCTTTCTAGCTACAATAGTTTCTGAGCTGCACAACATTAAAACTGTCACTGTCCTTAGCTCCAGCCATGCTTATTTTGGCACCTAACCAAGGATGATAGCAACTCTTGGAGCAATGCAATGCTGCCATATCCCTGCCTCATAAATATTGGGTTTGTTTTGTGTTAGTGGTGAAGTGGCATGTGTTTTTTAATATAAACTGAGTTGGCCAATATCTGAAATCACAGAATATTCTGAGTTGGAAGGGACCCATAAGAACCACAGAGTCCAGCTCACATCTAAATCTCTTGCTTACTCTCAGTGTACTGATTAAAAAGCTTTAAACTGGCAATTGAATACATATACAAAGTTCTCCAAAGTGGCAATACTGCCACAAGCCCCTGAAGAGGAGATCCATTACTACCAACAGCAGACCCAGGAAAACACACTTTCCTAGGGATTATTTACTCTCAAAGAAGTTCAGGTAAAGAGAGATTTGACATAACTCTTACTGAAAACTCTATATGACAGAGAGCTGTACACAACATGAACTGTTTTGTCAATGTAATTTATTTTTTTATTTTTTTTGAATGGTTGCATAGCTGGTCAAATATCTCTACAAAAAAATGTAATTGCTGAAATTTTGAAATAAAACAACTTGGGCTTTTTTTTTTTTTTTTTTTTTGTTCTGATCAAGTCAGTGACACATGTTGAAAGACAGATATATACTTAATATGCAAAGATGTATCCCTCCAGAAGTTACATTTGGTTGCCATGAAAATATGCCATGAAAATATTCTTACTCTTATAAGGCCAAAAATACATAGATATATAAAATAGTAGCAGATGTGCAGATGTCTTTTTTTTTTTTTTTCTTTCTCTTTTTCCATATTGTCATTACTATTCTGAACATTATGCCAAGTTGGATGGGTGGGTCCTGGATTTGGTGCTGGTTCGTACGAACATAATGCAAAACATCCTACTGTCGCATTGCATATTGTAAGAAAAAATTGCCTGTGTCCTACATTCACAGGCCCTTTCGGAAACCCACCAAAGGAGACAAGATGCCCAAGTACCAGAGTTGCCCTCAACATCTATCCTGACCAACCAGACAGAGAGAAAATCAGTTCAGCTTCTTCTGCTCAGAAACGCTGAGGCTGAGCAAGTAAAATCAGTATGGGGAGTATAAAGAAAGCAAAACCATTCCCCAACTCTCTTCTGCAGACCTGCCCCAATTCCCTACCTGTGACCTGTCCTGCTCACCACAGCTCTCCCAGAGCTTCAGCAGCCAGTCCATCCTTCGTGATGTGCCACAGTCCCATTTGGGGTCTGCAGGTTTTATGCAGTGCTCAGGTGTCTGTGCATCAGGCATCAGATACGGCGTTCAAACTTGGTTTAATTAGCTTTGTGGAAGTCTCAGTAATGCGGTTTTTATTTAGCCTTGCCTTCATGAGTTATCAGGCTTTCCCAGCAGCTGATGGTGAATGCTGAGATTTAGACTTAGCTGTGAATAAACCCACTGAAAGGCCTCTCTGGATGTTTTCACCTACAAGACAAGAAGTAGCCAGAAATACATGTCTTAAAAAGAAAATGAAATGGACTCTTTCAGAGCAGCTATTCCCGATTCATACAAAGATGAATGACAAAACTCCCAAAATATGCAGGCCCAGATCAGGGGAGCTGATGTAGCCCAGCCCCGTGCCCCAGCATGGTTGCTGGGATCACAGCTAAGGCTAGGACAAGGAAAGTGTTTTCTTAGCCCTTTTGTAAGAGAAGAGCTAAGAAAAGACTGTCTTGGGGAACCCAGGAGAGCTTTTGGGTTGGAGCTCTCCTGACATCACCCGTGTTTACATCATCTTTATTTATATAAGCAATTTATTCTGCTGGGGTGCAACTGCCATCAGTCTGAGCTGGCTTCAGACAAGATTCAGCACCGCTTACTGCTCAGAGCATCTAGTGCCTCCTCAAAGTCACCTCCAGTTTATATTAAAAAAAAATAAAAAAAAAATGCAAACAAGTAAAAAATGAACACTCCTGCAAAGAGCTGAGGCAAAACAGCCTTCCAAACCGGGGGGCAAGGGAGTACCTCTCCTCTCCACACCACACAAAGGTCCAGCAAAAGAAGCGGAGGGCAGCTGTCGCCCAAGTGATGCTCTTGCATGCTGCCATCCTGTGGTCTTCAGGCAGACACCAAGCAGGATCCCAGGGTGAATTAATTGTTGGGATAGGGCCAGTTCAATAAGGACCATGAGCTCCTTTCATATAGTCATTTCTTCAATCCCTGGCTCCGGGGTATTAGCAGCTCTGTGTTTTAAAGTAGAATTGCTTCAATAAGATTAGTCATTTGTATTCAAAGAAAGCATTAGCCAATACTTATCTTCATGTTTTTCACAAGTCCTTTTTGTGTAAAGACATGCCACAGAGTGGTTCTTCTGTTTTATCTCTGGTAAATTATGCTTTTTCCTGACAAGTTGCGTGAGCGACATGCAAGGTACAAACTCATGATCCTGTGATGTGAAAAGGACAAGGAAATGAAAGATCTCTGAAGCTGGAGGATGACCCAAGCTCTTGGAGATTCTGGCAAAGTAAAGGCAAGAGTACTTTCAACGTCAGGCTTCTCATTGCCCTGGCTTTCCCATCACTTTTGTCCACGTTAGCTGAAGAACTATCAAGTGAGATGCTCTGCATTCAGAACAAGCCTCCCCATAAACACCATCCACTGAAAGCTCCATTGGGATTTCTTTCCAAAGAAAACCGCGTCTTTTGTTGAGCTGGGTCTGGCGAGTCAGAACCACTACGGCCTCTCATCACTAGCAATAAAGTTTTGATGCTTCTACCAAAAGAAGTAATCTGTATCTGTGTTAACTTGCCAGCTGAAAATTCAAGGATGGTTTCCTACTGAATTAAAACTGCTCTTGGTGAGGTATATAAATTTTAAAACTGTCAGAGAGAACTTTTCCTGTTGTAAATTTTCTATGCTCCTCTGTTCTTCCTACACACATAAAATAAGCTACTGTGATCTGTGCTGCCTCGCAGGAGTGCTGCCAACAATTTACCGTGGGTTACCGGCAGAAGCATCCTCTGATCCTCCAGATAAACGCAGAAACAGATTACTTTCATCACTTGAGCATCGGATGCACTTGCTGCAATTTGTGTGCATCAAGTCTGCTCTCGGTATTTTCTAGAAAGCAAAATCTCCCCTTTATTGTAAATAATGGATAATTAAGAGACATCCTTTGACACAGAAATAGAGTGAACCAGACTTAACTACGATAACACATTTTAAAACAAACCTTACCCTGTCTGCATTAGATGCAACGTAATGTTTAAAATCGTACTTGTAATGCATTTTCCAGAATTTCTTACACATCAAATCAAAGCTGATTTCAAGCAAGGGGTGGCCTCATGCTTAGAAACAAGCCCAGCTCTTACACCTTGGTGCCTTGTAAGAAAACTGGACACCCTCAATATTCTTCCCTTTCCAAGCAGCCGGTTATACATCGCACCAAAATCCGATTGCTCCTGCTCGGTTTGTTCCTTGGAGCTGCCCCACGGAAGGACTGAACGCGTGTGAAATGTTTCCTAGTGGGAAAGTACAAAACAACCCTTGGGGTCGCGTTATTTCACAGGTCAAGTGACTGTCCCAGCTGATCCATTGCCTGAGCTCTGCTGCCCTCTCCTGCACGAGCTGGAAACTGGGAGGATTTTGGAAACTCTCCTGGGAGGATTTTAATGAAATACCACATTTTGTGTTTTTCAGTGGTGACTTGCTTATGCCCCGAGGGGTGGGGAGGAGTATGCAGATTAGGGAAAACAAGGTGAAAGGAGAAAGGGATCCTATCAAGGGATCTTATCCAGATACCAACCTATATTGGAAGGCTCTGCGACGAGACATCCAGCAAGACAATATACAACTTAAAAGCGTGTAAACTTATCTATTTTGTCTGTTCACATTGCCTCCTGGGTTTGAAAGCTGAGGACATGCAAGAGTTTATCACAAAGCAATGGGACTTCAGAGAAATACAAACATTTTTTAAAGTTCATAAAAAAAATGATAATGTGGTGGAGTGGGAAAGAGAAGAATACATTTGCAAATCATTTTGTGGTGGGGAATTTGCCTGCAAAGCAGTCAGGAAGGATAAACAAATGATTTCAGCTGGGTTCAAAGAATGTGTCCTGGCTTTTTGATGAGATGGTTGTGGTGTAAAATAATAATACAAAACCTATATATTAGCCTAGTCCTACTGGGAGAAAAGGCTGCTACCAGAAAACACCATATCCAGGACTGGGCGATCTCTGACAAATTACCTTCCCGGTCTCTTTTGATATTAGCAAGGCTGCTTTTTCTTGCAGTGCATTAATCTGCCTTTCAGCTTGTTTTTAATCAGAAACAGGCATAACTTTGGAGAGTGGAAAAAGAAAGCAGATGCTGAGGTAAACCACAGAATAGAGCTGGAAGAAACAGTCATAAAGAGAAGGCTCTCTGGCTTGATAAGTATTTAAGAAATATTTTTCTGAAGGGAAGGGAGAAATAAAATACTCCATTTTGTTCCAGTTTGGAAAATTGTTATGTCTGCTTTCTCTTCCCAAACGGAGGACAAATGAGCTGTTTTGTACAGTATTTTGATGCAGCTCCTATTCTGTTGTGTAACATGGGAAAACAACAACAACAACAATATAAAACAAGGCTGGTATTTTGAAAAACAGTCCCTAGAGACTGTGGAACAAAAACTTCATTTTTGGAGTGTCAGGAATAAAAAAGTAAAAGAACTCAGAATGAAATTAATCCTGTGTGCAATAGGGATTAACATTTTGCAAGCAACTGGAAGTCAGGATACAAGACTTCAGTTACTCTAGATACCAGTTAAAATTGCAGATGCAAGAAATTACTGAAATAAGAATACGGTAAGGTAAAATAGACTCAGATGCTTTCAACTCCTTACCTTCTACTGATTTCTAACTACTGATGGGACACATCTGATGTATGTACCTGCAGTGCAAATGATTTTGTTGGTATCTTCAAATACAGATGTTCTAAGTTAAATTTTGTAATTCAAAATAAAAAACAAACCTTTCATGTATTTTTCTCTCCCCAGAGCTTTAAGTTTCAAGGCAACCCGAAGCCAGGCTACCCTAACTCCAAACCCTCATGTCTGCATTGCTATCTCTGTGCCATGGCCCCTTGTAAGTGTATGATTAACCAGATCAGGGGACTGACACAGCAGAACATTACTTAAAAAGCCAAACAAAACAGAAAACACTCTGAGCAAACAAACGAACAGAAAACATTATTATCTAGCCAGCTTAGCTTCTTTCACGACACAAGCACCAGTGCAAAGGGAGCAGGAGGATGCAGAGAGGAGCACACATGCAAGAGAGAGCCCAAAAACTCTTCCAGGTCACCAGGGTTAGCCCTGTGCTCACAGATCCTAGGTGAGAAGATGGGCGCTGCAAATTCCTTTATTCAAGCAAAAGACATTAGATATAGCCAAAGTCATCCAAGATATGTCAGGTTATCATAGAATTAAGAGTAGAATGGAAAAGGCATTTGGAGCAATTATTGTCACTAATTGTCAAGGGAAAAGACTAGTTTATGCTATCAACGTTCAAGAGACCTGAGGTAGCTAGTTCAGTGGAAGCTGCAGAGTAATGGCAGGGTGTTCCTGGCTCGGCGTAGATGTGGATACAGAGAGAAACCATTCCTCAGCACGCGGTTCTGGCTTTGGGTTGAAACCTTTCCAACCAGGGCAGCTCTGCCAAGCCTCACGCCAGACCAGGCCCCGCCAGACAAAAGCTACGTGCTGGCAGCACGGCCTGAGGCTCAGCCCCGCCTGCCTTCGGCCCCAAACCAGGGAGCAGAGTGACAGATAGGCAGCAAGTCACTAACCTCTTTAATTAGAAAAACCCTGTCTCTCTGGAGAGGGAAAAATATTAAAAACAAAACAAAACAAACAAACAAAAAAACAACAGAAAATATCAAAATCAAACCAAACGAGTTGATGAGTTGGAGCTCTGCTGAGAACTGAAATTAGACCATAAAACCAACTTGTTGACAGGTGACCAAGGACTATCTGAAGGGATTGAAGCCATGATCTTGGAGGACAACACCTACATTAGCAATCTGTGTAGTTTTCCATAAGGCAAAACACTGCTATTGTTGATGGCACAGGAAGGAATTACATGGAAAACCCAGACAAGGGATACAAAGCCTGCAGAAAACCTGTATGGAAACCTTCAACAAAACTTTCTGGCTTAGCTTGGATGTAGAGAGTAGATACTAGTCCTGCAAGTAGTTTAACATAAAAAATCAGATTAATTTCTTAATTATTAGAGACATAAACCAAAAACAATAAAATGTGTGTAAAAAAGTGGCAGATGGGGAAACTTAGAGAAGGTAAAAACACAGGTACTTGACAATAATTATTACCCATAATAATAATAATAAAATAAACCTGTTTTATATCAGGTAACCATAAAGACAGACATCCTGCACATTTTTTGAGTCAAGACCTGTCATCAAGACAAGTAATCTCCTTATGATTAATCCTGTATTAAGTCTAAGACTTTAAAGCAGTTTTATACCTTGAGCATATGCATAAGCAGTGTCTATTTGCTGATTGATCTTGCCATTCTCCCATTTCTTCATTTTAAATGGAGCCTTTTAAAACACTATTTTCCCAAGACACTATGAAAAAGGACTTTCAAAGAAATATAAATTCAAGAGTTAAGTTCTCCTTCCTTCCCAATTTCTGAGTTTTTCCTCTTCTTACAAGTTTATGCTGAGCTTTGCCATATCACCACCTGCCTTCGCTGAATAAGGGGGAAGAGATTCTTTCTGCAGCATCATCTCTGCTCAGTGCATTGTTTCTCTGATATCCTCTCACTTTCAAATACAGCTCCGTGTGTGAATTTTTTTTTTTTTTTTGCAGGATAAAGCCTAAGCACAACCAATGCAAGCTTAACTATTTTTCTCCTCTGATTTTTCTGATTTATTGCAGGAATTGTAGGTTCTAGTTTTCACTAGTCCTCATACAGTAGACCAATGCCTTGTTCAGGAAACTATGCTGCATGCCAACACCTTCCACACTCAGCTGTTTCTGTTTTAATTCTGCTTCAAATTGCTGCCTTCTAGCAAAAGTAGCTGAGGTAGTTAGAAAATTGCATGGCTGTGACTCATCTTCAGTGTTTAAGTAGAAACTGAACAACTTAGTGTCAAGAAGTCATGATTCAAAGATACTACAGTGGGACAGGATCAACGTGACCAGAGAATTTTATGCCACTGTTCAGATCTGTTGGTAAAACTTTTTTTTTCCCCCCTGAACTCTGTAATGAGTTATCTTACTGGGCTCACATTAATACCAAAAGTGCAGACTTCTTCAGAGAAAGTAATTTAAAAAAAACCACAACACCACTGTACTCTTTGCCAACATGTTGTTATTTTATCACCCCCCAGCAATTGCACATTCAGTTGAGCTTTTAGAATACAATTTTGGGAAGGCAGAGCTCACCTAAACCAAACACTTTTCTTGTTAAAAAAATCTGTGATCATCCTAGTTTTCTATCTCTAATGTCAATCCTTTTAGGAATATTTACCTCTCAGGAATATTTACTAAGACACTGAACACATCATCATTCTGGATTAGGTTTCTTTGATATGCAATATAAGCTGCTATCTGGCTGCAAGGTCTATAAATTGGCAGACTGATTTAAATTTTATTGAAAACAAATTATACCATGCAATATTTTTTTCATTTTCCATAGATTCTTCCTATATAGTTTATACATGCACGTGTGCATATAAATATATATGTATATCATATATATGATATACATATTTTTTTTTGAAAAGCACCTCAGGAGCTGATCCAAGTTAGGCAATTTTGGACAGTTAATCAATGTTATTCATTTACATACACTGTGAGGCACGCCATGCTCCAAGTAAAACTTTAATTAGGGCTTGATTGTACTGAACCTTAGCTGCTACGCTATTTTTCTAGACTTTTTATTTACATCTAGATTTAGTACATCCAGTATAAGACTGAAATAATTTCAATTTTTAAAATTAAGTACTACCACAAGAGTCCCATGTCAGTATTTACCATAAATCTCAGACTGTAAGCATACAAGCTGAATGGGAACACAGATCTAGAAAGAAAAAGACACTGCAGGACTGAATGAGGTTCACACAGCTGATGTGCACATTTCAGAATGCTTCATCCATCAGATGAAGGCTTCTGCATTTCTCACACCTGCAGGCTCAATTACATGCATGTTTTTTCACTGGTCATACAAGTCTAAAATGATTCATGTAATGTAATGAAAGGGGTAACCACCGCTAGTCATGTTCTAAGATATTCTCCAGCTAGAATTTCTCAATTTAGACAACCTAAGATGTAGTTCAAAAAACTCCTTTCTTATGGACAAAGGTCCTGTCCTTTCACAAATGAATCTTAAAATAACTACCAAATAATCTGCTCACATATTTTAAAATCAAGCTTATTTCACGTAAGACTCATGTTCAAAGAGATGAGTAAACAATCTCTTTGTTTCAACTTGAAACTCATTTCTTCTACTGTTTCTCCATTGCTAAGAATGGTCAAATACAGATTCTATCATTATTGCTGCATTACAGACTTCAACGTTGACAGAAGCTTCAAAATGCAAAATCCTGAAAATACAGGTTATAAGTTTTACCTGCTTCTTGAACTATTCACAGTTGTTCAAGGAAAACTCTCAAAGGGATTTTAGGGAGTTAAAATCATAGTTATTAGAAACTTGTTAATTTGTACGACCCCAATTATACATCAAATGTTTATCTGCACTTTAAAAACAAACAAACAAAAACAAACTTCTAAGCCAATGTGACAAAAGCATCCTAAGAGCTAAAAGGAACGTTTCTTGAACTACAAAAGTGAAAGAAGAGCTCATTGATAAGGATCTCAGCACTGCTAAATGCATTTCATATTTTGCAAAGGGAGTCTTGCACTGGCAGTCTGTGGGGTAGCATGAAAGCAGAAAGGAATACTTTGTTTTCATCAATTATTTCCATGCTTTTCAAGATTTGAGAGCACAGATGATATCCCACTTTAATTTAGCCCAAACTAGTATTTTGTTTACTAGTAAAGGTTGGCAATTAGTACTATTGAAAGCCAACATCTCATAAGCACTACTATGGAAAGTGTGACTAATACAAAGGTTGATTGCTTCCTCTACTAAAACTAGCCCTGAACATTGTTCCAGTCCAGATGGCAAATAACAATTACACAATCAGCATCCAAGTGCAACAGATAACATTTTTGTATTAAATAAAGACACACAGATTTACAAAGGGTTTTTATATTTATATTTTATTATTGTGTGACTACACTATTATCTAAATAAACTTTTCAACCACTTCTACGCTGTATTTTCATTGTAAAAGTTTCAACAGGTTTCAACACATTATTCTGCAACCTTCACACTTAAAAGTATATAGAAACATTCAGTATCAAAAGGCCTTTGCAATGCTTTTCTTTTAAAAATGTTAGATCAGATTTGTAACTCTGAGCACATATTAAAGCAGATTTTTTTTTTCCAGAGTTCCACTGACAAGCGACTCTATGCGATTTGTCAAAGAACAAGTTTGTGTGCTTACATTAACTCTACGCTGACCTTGTCCCTCCGTACTGCTCCTGAAAACAAGATTAAGAATTGAGGAGTGTTGCAGTTTTCAATGTGAGCCAATATTTAACCCACTGATAATGACAGTTAATTTGGATTAACTCTGTTGCTCACAAGATAATACTTAAGGCAAATTTCATTTTACACTTATTTTATCAAGCTTGAGTAACTACACAGGTGTCAGTAATAAGACACTGAGTAAGTGTCTTAAGAGACTTACTCAGACACTTAAGTGTATAAGACACTTTATAATGTATGTAAGATGTGGTAGGACCTATGTAAGATATATTACATTTCCTTTTGTGTTCTTGAAATTCCTAACCTTTCAAATTTCATCAGAAATCCCATTTTAGATTTGATTTAAAAGGTTTACAGAATTAAAGAGATGTAATGAAGCTGGTGCATCTCTAGGAAGGAGGGTAGAATATGCATTTTACAAATATTTCAACATGAGAAGAATCAAATACACTATTAGTTTAAGTAGAAAAACCTTAGAATTGCATTTAAAGGGG